TTAAGATTACACATGAGCAAGGCCAAAATTAATATGTGACATGTTAAGTTTACAGAAAGGTGGGTATCATTCTGCAATTTATAAACCAATGTGGACATGATTTGCTTCCTAAAATAGATGTGATACATGAGAACACCTCAAGATTTCCCTGAAACTTTACACACAAGAAGAGGGATTTAAAGTTTTCCCTTTTGAACTTGTGACACAGGAAACACTGTTTTAGTAAATACAACACATTATTTATTTCTTTAATTTGTGTGTGAAATGGAATCAGGACTTGCTACCCTCAAAGATCGAATACTATTACTGGCCAAGGTGAAATCTGTAGATTGTGAAAGAGCATGAAAGAAACTTAAATTTTCATTGACTGGATAAAGTCAAACAATGATCTGTTCTTTTAGAAAGTTTTACAGTTAACGAGCAGCATTATAAACAGTAGCTGCATCCCCTAAGGAAATGTGGGTTCCCAAAAAATTAAGACTTCTTGTGAAGGAAAAGCAAGCTTACGTCAATTGATAAGACAGAAGACTGAAAAAGGGAACTATGTTTGCTAGCTGACACACTTAAGATCATAATGCACCCTTGCTATCAAACAATCAATAAACACACGTATATAGCAGAATTAACTACCATGTAAGGCTACCAGAATGGCAGTCAAAATGTGCCGATAACGAGCAGAAATTATACGGTAGAAATCTAGCGCGATGCATTTTGTCCAAAACATCCCGAAGAAAGCAACTGGGTTGTGGGAATAATAACCAAATATTTATTTCCAACTTTCGACCTTCCTCAATAACAATCAACGGTACACAAATATGCATCGACTGGTAGATATTGGTGCACTTCTCGATTGCCGATACACACACATCAATACGTATCGTTAGTAATATCACTCTCATGATTCGAAAGAAATCGTAAACGGTTTCGTAAACTATGATTCACATACTGTTAATTCCTTGATCTTTCCCAAATTCGTCGGTGTGATTGAAGTTTTCCAGCTGTCTTAAATCGTAAATGTGGTCTCTCGTATTAGTTACCACCCGTTCAGACCCGTTCTTCACGAGATAGGTGAGAAGCAGCAAAGCCTATAAAATAGAACCAGAAATTCCTTTACAGTGAACCATGTAAACAAACCAATAAAGATGAACAAAATGATTTACACAGTCAAACCTTGTATATTCTCCGCCAGTTCTTCTTGTTTTCGTGCAGCATTCTTTTCCATAACATAGACATGACCTCTGGAAAGTGCTCGTACGTAAAAGTGTACCTTGCAATCTCCGCCATTACTGTTCCGTGAGGACCCCAGCTATCGTCATTTGTGGCTTCCCTTACTTTGGCTTCAATTTCAGTGTAGTTCATGACCACATTCGTACTGTATAAAAAATAAAAGAACATCAACTTCGCTCTCTTCCTCAAATATGGTCACCAATATAGTCTCTTAAGGTATACCAATTAAACCATCTGGCAAACACTTACACTTTGTCCTGTAATTCGCGAATTTTCCACATTTTGGTTTGGATTATTTTATTAGCGATTCGAAAAAAAGAAATCAAGTCATTTATCTATCAATATAGCGACGATGGAGACGGATTGAAGTAATCCCCTTCGCCGGAACAAAAATGGCGTCTTAGAAGAAAAATTGTCATGACGTTGACGTCAGATGCGTACTTCAAATTTTACCGCTGACCACTGGAAGCGTAGGTCCCATACATCGCGGGAGAGGAGCATTCCACATAAATGATTTTGCCAATTTTCCTTCCTTGAGTGTCGACGTGAGACTCAGCTGAAAAAAGGAGACTCTATTTCCAAGCTTTTAATATACAAATGAGCTTTAGTTGAAAGATTTGAATGGAAACACAGGGAATATTAGTAATAATGAAGATAATTCATAATACACCACAGGCGGCCCAAGCTCACGTCTCGAGAAAAAGCCAACGATAAATTCCTGAACGCGTCACGCGTTTTGTGACTCGGTGTTGAGTTACGGGAGGAACCGTTGAAAATTTGAACACGTTATAAGGAATAGTATGGGGAACGAAATATGGTCCATTTACAACGATAAATATTTCGAAATATGAATATTTTACACGTAAAATCAATAAAAAACTTACTCATTCCCTGTGTATCCGTCGTAGTTTCTAGCGATTTCTGCCGTTTTCTGCTGTTTTAAGCTTGCTTTGCCATCACTGTTATCCATGTCAAAAGACGAGAAAGAAGCGAACTTGGGAATTCAGGTAGAAAACACTCGTTTCCAGCGAAATGCGCGTGAAGTTTTGGTATTTAGACATGTCCCAGGGTGCAGCGATCTTAGATCGTAAAGTGTGACTGAGAAAAATGCCGATCGGGAGGATTTTCGGGGCGCAAACCACCTCCGCGTAGACCACGGTCGAAATCTGAGTGTGCAGCCTTGACTTCGTCTTTTGACATGGATAACAGTGATGGTAAAGCAAGCTTAAAACGGCAGAAATCGCCAGAAAATATGACGGATACACAGTGCATGAGTAAGTTTTATTGATTTTACGTGTAAAATATTCATATTTCGAAATATTTATCGTTGTAAATTGACCATATTTCGTTCCCCATACTATCCCTTATAACGTGTTCAAATTTTCAACGGTTCCTCCCCTAACTCAACACCGAGTCACACAACGCGTGACGCGTTCATGAATTTTCTCGAGACGTGAGCTTGGGCCGCCTGTGAATACACAAGCAGCCCTCTGCAAACTTTTTCAATGGGCAAAAATTCTTTTCACTACATTTTAGCCCAATACGATGAGTCCAGCACTTAAGTGGTTGGGTTCCAAGAGATAACCTGTCAGCCATTTAGAAAATACAGAGGGCATAATAGAGACAAATTAATCTCTTCTACAGCTTTGGATGTGTTTATAGCCAGAACATTTGATTCTATCAGTGTGCTGCTAGACCCAGTAGTATGAATGAGTACCTAGAAACTACCAGAAAAAAAGTTGGAAAAGTTGTCTGGTCACTCCTGGGAATTAAAGGCATAAGAAATAAAAAACAAAGCCAGTCAAAAAGATTGTGCAATACTGTACATTGCTTCCTGACTAACAAAAGTTAAACTAAGCTATAGTACAATCCTTGTCTATCAAAAACCTTTTAATTGTAATAATATCTTCAAATTTGTCAAAAAATTATTTTGTAAGTCATAAACAACTTGAGGATTTCATAATATGAAATATCCTTTACATCTCCTTGGTCCATACTTGCATCCTGCCCGTGTTTTGGGTGAATAGAGAATAAAAACTGTCTTATCTAGATTTCTTAATCACAAAGAAACATAAATATGCACTAACCCAAACAGGGTAAGTTAAAACCTCTCTCAATTTCTTTAAAAATTTTCTTAATTATTGTAAAAGAATCTCAATAGGTGATCTCTATGAAGATGGTACTTGTAGGTATTAGTAATTTTCCTTGGATTCATAACATAGTTATATTATTTCATCAACATATTGATTAACCCTATAACTTCCAAACTTTGATTGTTAATTCTCCCCTCTAGCTGCTACACATTTTCTTGTTAAGTAATTGGGAGAATATTGAGTTAGATCAAGATACTGATTTTGACCTATTAAGTTTGAGTATCCTCACTGCCTGCTTTTATTAGTTATGGATATTAAAGGGAGAAGTCACATGTTGATCACTTCTGGGAGTTGAAAGGTTATTCAAGCAAAATGGTTACAAATTTTTCTATGAAATGGCAACATTTCTGTTCACTCAGTTCATTAAGGAGCTGTCATGTCTTCCCTGTGACCAGTGCTCAAACAAAGCTTGAGAGTATTGAACAATGACCTTTTCCATCAAGCCTGCTCCACGTGGAAACAAGCCTTCGGTAAATCCTACATGTCCACCATGTTTGGTCAACACCATCGCAATGTTAGGACACCTAGAGAGTAATTCAAATGGAATTGACTCCTCTGGAGCAAATGGATCATCAGCAGCATTTAAACACAAAAGTGGTATATTAATCTTGCATAATGGCTTAGTATGTAGTGTTGCTGCTGCATAATATTCATTACAGTCTTTAAACCCAGACATTGGTGCAATAATTTTATCATCAAATTCTCTCACAGTGCTTGAATTCAACCCAGAATTTATATCACAATTAAGCTTAAGAGTCATTTCTTGAAATTTTGTTGATGACAAGTGTTCCTTCAATACGTTTTGCAATAGTTTTGTCAAATGACGATTGAATAAAAGGCGATTCAAAGGTTGCTCTAAGGAATTGGAGGTCTTGAACAAATCCCATGGAGTGGAGATTATCGCGGCTCCAAGAATTTCATCAGTGATATCACTTTTTCCTTCAGCCATTTTGCACAAAAAGTTAGTAAGTATTATACCACCGAGAGATATTCCTGCAACCATCACAGGACGGCGAGGTTGTTTATTTTTCAGATGACTAATGACATATTCCAGGTCTTCTGTGTCTGCCGCACAACATACCCGAGGCGTTTTCAACCGCAAGCCACCTAATCCTCTGTTATTCAACACAACAACAGCGCAGTTAAGTTTCTGAGTGACGTGCAGGACAAAATGAAGAACATAGCCAAGTTGGCTTGTACCAGTCAAACCAGGTAATATAAGTACAGTGAGAGGATTGGTGGGGTTTTTCGTGTTACACCAGTCCAGCGCAATCTCTCCGCCATCACGAGTGCCAAGTATCTCTCTCTCATAAGTTACTACAGGATGCGATTTCAAGACACCGCCTACAACTGTTTGCGCCCGGCCACCATAACACCAAATTGTTGGCCAATATAGCTCGGTGGCAAATGGGCAACGTTGCTTGATTAAGCGGTAAATGAACGATCCTGGCTTAGCAATGATCTTTGGTTTTCTTACGACAAATGTTAGATAAAAAACTATGTAAAGAGAAGCTGCGCTCATCGCCGAAAAATAGAACTGGGTTAAAATCTCCATTATTGCGGGACGGTCTGACCGTGCACGCCTGGGTCGATACCTTAGCAACCAAGCCTTACCGAGCTGATTGCAAAATGGCGACTAGTCTAACTGCGCGAAGGGCCTCGAATTTACTACAAAGAAATGTACATTGTCGCTTTGTCACTCCAAACTTCATCTTTGGTGTGTGTAGAAACTGTTCTACTACAACGGTAGAAATTAAAAATGATAATACGTCAATAGAAACGGCGCCAAAAATGCAAGAGGACGAGGAAAAGAGAAAAAGGAGAGACGAGGGTAAAAAACTACATGCTATATATCACATGAAAGTGGACAAAATCGCTGCGGAATTCCTCATGAAACGACAAGAGGAAGAAATGAATCTAAATCAAGAAATGCTTAAGAAGAAGGAACTGCAAAAGCTGGAGAAAGAAATGCACGACCGGATTATTGAAAGTGTCCATCTTGAGAACGAGCGAGTAAAACAACTAAGGTAGATATTATTTTTTGTCAAACTCTATAGTCTTGCTAAAACTGAAAAGGTGCTCATAACGCAAGATATAATTAACAATATTAGATAAATTAACTTTATCAACCAGACTCTGATCTAGAAAACTTGGAAAATCAAAGGCAAGTGTCGTACAAATGTACGAGGTATATTGTAACACTGGAATTGTACTGCAGTTGCTCATCTGGCTGCCGCTATTCTTGAAAAGGTTGAAGGCTGTGAGAAAAATTGACCAAAATTCTTGCCTTCAATTAATTTTGGTCAGTAATATACTACTGATCCTTAAATATTTGTCCATTTCTTAATGTTTCGTACAAATCACTTCCTTGTTTCACCATATACCTTTTGAACACAAAAGGGACACGCCTTAAGGAGACTCTTGCCGTAAACAAAGTTGACTTTTGTACAGAAATATTCTATGCTCGATTATTCTCTTTCAAATGTCACTGCTGATTCCTCAAGATTGTAAAATTTTTTGTTACATTACCATGAAAGTGACGAATGACAAATCCATGGTGGTATTGTGGAGGGAGTTTTGTCTCAATTGAAAATACATATGTATGGAAAAAAATCCTGTGAATCATTACCCTCAAATTAATTAATTTGAATTTTGTGACACATACAGAAAAGCTCATGTCAGATGGTCAATCCAATTTAATGCATCATCATATACAACATTTGAAATTGCTTCTACTATGTTGAAACTTCAGAGCCTGATTGTTTTAAAGTTTTATTTATTTCACTCTTATGATCTCTATAGTTATCATAATTCTCCCTACTGTCTGCTGTACATTTCTTGTAATTTTAGTTTGCAGAGTTTGGTGTTGGATCCAATGACGATCCCTTAGTTGATATTTTTGTTATTATCATCACATGTCTGCTTGATATTGTATTAATTTGGGAAGAAAAAATTTTTTCTTGGTCGGTCATGAGGAAAAAAGGTTTTAGAAAAAGATTCTAATATGTACAGCTTTAGAGGTCTCTTCTCCAATTTTCACAGTTTAGAGCCTGACTGAATGAAAGCTTTCAGGAAAATATGTGTGTGTCAGACATCAAGGACCTAAAGTAAATGAAAGACTTGAAACTTTATGTAAAAACTGACAAGATTAGGAGATGTGATAAAAAATTTAGGAGACACAATTCTTGAAGTTTGCACAACAAGGGTAAAGAATATAAATTTAGGTAATTATCTCTTTCCTAATATTGTGACTTAGGCAACAGTTAGTTTATGGCAAATCCTACATTCCAATCACTGCAAGCTCTTTGTTTTAATTCATTCACGACAAATGAAAGGTGTAAGTTGCCACAGTTGAATTTCTTGGTCTCTGCTGGCAGTTATACTGTAGGTGTTAGTCTACTGTAGAGCTTTAACCCTTTACCACATAAAGTCATTGAAATGCAACTTCTCTCGATTATATCCATCATTATCCAGCAAACAGGTAATGAGAATACTTTAACTTATTAGGTACAGGTTGTCATCTTGATCTCACACCAAATTCTGGAAAGCAATTTGTAAGGAAATGTAGTACAGCTGCATGGCAGAATTAACAATCAGATCTTGGAAATTAAAGGGCTAAAAGCAATGGGAGGTTTTACCAAATACAGTTGTCACTGATCGAAGAAAGAAAAAGAAGAATCAACTGACTCTAAAGCTCTAGTTTCAGAACAGTTGCGACCAAAGAAAAATCAACTGCTACTGAAGGGGCTATTACTTGTAATGTTGGACTATGTGACTGTTTTCTTTCTTTTTTATTCCAGAGAGAAAAGACTTGAAAATAAAAAGCTAGAGGATGAAGAACGCGAGAAAGAAAAGGAGCTTTTAAGGAGGGAATGGGAGGCTAAACAGAGGCAGGAAAGAGTTGAATTGGTGGAAAAGCTGATTGTAAGTACTGTTAGTTTTGTTACAAGGGAAAGTTAGGGACTGATGTGAATAATTTGACATCATATGTATGCAACTGTCAACTAAGGCATGAATAAGAAATTCAAGTTCAACACGACCCTTTAACTTTCCAAAAACAGTGACTGAAACAGAATTTCCCCTTACAATGCAAATGTAAAGAAAAATATCAATTAGGGAATTATCAGTTGATCCAATTTACCAAATTCTCCAAGCCAACATCAGAAGAATTGTTTAGGAGATGGTAAGGGGAAATACTAAATGAGATATTGGGTGTGAAAGAGTTAACTTTGTTTAGCTTTACAAATCTTTAGTATGAAGATCATACTTTCATTCCACCGTTAATATGTTCATTGTATAATTTTTTCTTAAGTTCATGTCTTTCAAGTGGGTGATTTGCATTCATACAGTGGTAACTGTTAGTAGTATTAAAGCAAAGAAACACTGAAAGGAAAAAATCCTCTTGCTGCACATACAAGCAGTTTGGTTGATCTGAAGCTCTCTTTTGAGGTATATTTTGGGGCTGAATATCATGGGTACTGCATAAGTAAGTGGGAAGCACAACAGGACTTGCACTCAATACCACAAGATTAACCCCTTCAACTCCAAGAAATGATTAACATGTAACCTCTCTCTACAATACCCATACAGTATCCAGTAAACAGGTAATGAGAATACTAAAACTTATCAGTTAAAGGTTATCTTAATCAGAGAAACAAAATTCTTGTAACTAATTTACAAGGAAATTTGTAGCAGCTAGAGGGGAGAATTGACAATCAGATCATTGTAGGTAAAGGGATAGGACATGCACATTACACTTGCCCCTTTGAAGGTGACAATCAGGTTGATTTTCGTGCATTTTATTTCATTTTTGTGCAGGAAGAAAGCAAAAACTGGGTGACTGAAGAAAACCTAGAGGAGAAGATAGCTTATTGCCTGGAAAATGAAACAAACTACAACTTTGCCATAACACCATCAGGGGAGAGGATTTATTCAACCACTCCTCCTGGTTGTATAGACTCTGAGGAAAATACCCCTGGCCCTGCAGCTTATTACCCAAAAGGACTACCTTCAAACCTTGAAAAACAAGAAGTGGATGGTTATTGAGAGAACAAACTGAAAGCAGTACAATACCTTGTACACGTACACAATAAAGAGGAGTGTAAAACAAATTTTACAGGAGCAACGCACCTGACTGAGTAATGCCTCCTGAGCCATCAAGTGCAACTAACTAAAAACTTTAGCCTCCCAATCTTCAGTTAAAAAATTTATGAAATCTCATGCATCTTGTGCACTAGGGAAAGGTATCTTCATTTGGTCAACAAATTGTTAGAGAAATTTTACGGAAACACTAAGTAACTGTCTGTTGTTCACAAACATTGATAGCTAACTTCGCTTTTTGGCTAACTTCCGTCTCCCCCATCCTAATTTCAAGCATAAGCACTCATTTTATTCACAGAATACTTTGGATGGTCAATGGAGCGATGGAACCAAACAGAAAATTGAGAGGAACATCTTAACCTAGGAATTTCCACCAGCTATTCAGGCTGTACTTCTGTTGGCTAAACTCTTAAGATTAGAACCATAGGAAAGACTCTCACCATTCAGTTGTAACTAACACAAAACCTCACTTAACAGTTCAACTACATCAATTCTTTATTAGTGAACTGGAGTTGAAATAAAAAACTTATCAGCTAGAGGGTGTTTTCCTTTCAATAGCATAAAAATACATTAAACCCTCTGCTTTTTTTTTCTTGTCTGTAAACAGTGTTTCAGGGTTCATATAGGTCATGGAAAATCTGGAAAGTCCTGGAATTTCATTTTCATATTTCCAGGAATGGAAAGTCCTGGAAAAAGATTACAGGTCCTGAAAAGTCCTAGAGATCTGCTTAACCCAGAATTTACATTATGAGAAATGTATGTAGACTGTATGAATTGATTTTGGGAATGAAAGGGTTTCAGGTGAAATTCCTGGAAAAATCACTCTGAGTCCTGAAAAAGTACTAGAAAATTTGTTTCTGAAAATGGGTTTGAACCTTGTGTTTGAACAATTACATGCATCAAATTGAACACAATGACCAGTGGTACATGTAGAGGTAAAGTCTGGACACAGGTGGAATGGCCTACAAATTGGCACAGCTCTCCTTACCATGAAGCCACAAGGAATATTGCCACTAATCCTGGATGGAATCCCTGTCTTTTCAGGTTAACCTAGCATTTATGTCGGGCTTTTTGGATAGTTCATTTAAGTTCATGAGAAGGACTAGCCCAAGAACACAACACCATAGATTGTGAGAAGGTTCTTTTATTTGGAGAAGTCTGTTAAGCAAGTAAACCAAAAAAATCAGAGAAAAATAAAACTGATGTCAATGCCCTACAGGGAGCTCTGGAAGTGAGGTGCAGAACAGGACTCCCAGAGCTCAATCTTAGCTGTGCACAATCATCAATTTTTTTTTCACTTATTTTTTTTTACTTGCACAATGGACTTTGCTGCAAAGGAAGGACTGCTTGTTGATCAACTACATGGTGACTGCCAGGTCATGAACCCCTCCTTCTCCGCCCAAAATCCAGCTCAACTAACTGTTACACCACAAAATCTCTCACTCACTATAACCAGACCTACAGCTGTTTAGCCCTTTACACCCTATGGGTGATAAGGATCTAATTCCTCCATGCTGTATCACCCTTGAATCACACATTAAAGTTACAAGAATAAAAAAAAATGATCACCTACAAGAGAAGCTCTTGATTTTTAAACAAATTCTTCATGTCAGAACCTTAGAAAATGTATAGAGAACAGTATGGAGAATATGCATACTGATGATAAGGGTGTAAAGGGTTATTAAGAGCCATTCTGGGCGTTGTTTGTGTGCTGACCCATCCACAGTCATATTTTTGGCACCACTGAAGGCAATTTCATTGGGTTAATTGAAATTAAAGTTGAGTGACTGTCAAAATGAACATAATCAAATACTTGAGACTTTCTGAGATGATGACACTGATGTGAGTGTATGTTTATTAACCCGAGGCAAACTGGTTGATGAGTAGTACTAGAACTAATACAAAAAACCATCTACCTAGTTGAGCAAACATTTAACATTCAATCTACATTCCAATCTTATCAGTCCATGGTTTTAAGTCTTTAAATTTGTCTGGAGAAGAAATCTTTCCTTCATTTCTCATTCCACAAAATGTTGCATCATTATCTTGCAGCACTTTTTGCTGTTTTTCAGATTTCATCAATTGAATGGTGCAAATGGTACTAATGTACATTTATTTGTTTGTTTGTTCATTCATTTTAAAAAGTATTTATACTTAGGCTGTAATCTTACATGCTCATCCTTCAAAAGACTATAACCACTCTCTTAGTGTTTTCAGTTTGTTGTTGTTGTAGCTATTGTGGAGGATAGATCTGGGTCTTGCACAACAGGACCTGTGAATAAAAGGTCAGCTCGACAGAATTCTCCAGTATCAAGATTCTTGGCCATAACCTGGTCAGGATCAACATTTGGTACACGATGTTCAACAAATATTCTCTTCAAACAACAGTCCTATTGGTTGGGAATAAAAAATATATCTTGGTAAGAAAAATATACTTCTTTTTTTTTTAAATATTAAACAGGAAAAAAGTGGAAAGATAAATGAACACTACATTAATGAAAAGGGATTTGTTGACAGTCTAACCATAACTGCTTTGTAACTATGACAACAAGCTACCAAGGAAGGGAGGGGAGGGCATCTTGCTATTTAACCTATGGTGAAAGTTTGGTGGTGGCCTTGTTGAGATTTGAAAAAAAAAAGAAAAGAAAAGAAAAAAAGAAATTATAAAAGTAAAAGAAAGAAAAAAAAGAAAAAAAAGAAAAAAGAAATAATTGTACAACTTAGACAAGATTAATGTGAAGGTATATCAGCATGTAGTATATAATATTACTTAGGAATTATCAGTCTGGTAAATTTGATTTTGGGCTTTGATTGTGCATGTTAATGTTAGTAAGGTACAAAATGATCATTCATTTCTCCCTCCTTCTGGAACCTGAATATTGACTGTCCTACATATGTGACTACATCAAAAAAAAAAAAAAGAAAAAAAGATACCATGTTAAAGTACCTTCAGATAATTAATTGCTGCCTGAGTGATCATGGAACACCCTGAAGCGTAGACTTCTTTCAGAGTTGAGCAGCAGCAGTTTGCCAGGGCAAAAACAGACCGATCTGTTAATCCTGAGACACCAGACACAACAACCTCTTCTAATGGACACATACGTGCTAACTCACATACACCAACATCAGAAACCTGTTCAATAAATTACCATACATTTATTTAACAAAGGAATTCTTAACAGTGAACTGGGTAGCTATTGTTGAGGTTATGGCAGAGGAAGACTACATGACAAGAACAGTGGCAGTGACATTTTTCTGGGAAAAGGTTGCAGTCTGTGGCAATTCAACTCTAAATTCAACTCTGATGACATGGAGAATTTGGTTGAATATCATTTTTGTACAAATCATAGAATTTTTATTCTGCAATTCACTCACCAAAATTCAAAGTGCTTTGACCAGAGAAGGAGGGGGGGGGGGCTGTTTAAATAAACTTGTTGTTTTCCAAGCCCAGTCACAGACAAATTATTTTAACCAACTCAGACCATAACTCAGACAGTTAGAAAACTTGTTACTGAGAATATATGTTTCTTTTAAGTTCTCAGAGAAGAGTATGGAGATTACCTATACTAATGCTAAGGTATAGAGGCCTGAGGGAACATGAAAAAGGGAGGTAGAGTGAATTTCCATAGAAGAGTTATTGCATACAAAAAAGCATAATTTTGAGACAATTGTTAAATCAAGGCTACATACCAAGCCGCAGCCTTTAATGCTGACACGGGTAATTTGGTGACAATTTTCAGCAACTGCAGTCAGGAGCTGATCATCCACGTCTTTCATGCCCGCAAGCCGCAGAACAAGCAGCGAAGGACAACTTGCTGCTATTTCAGCTATAACATCTACAGAGAACTACAAGAGAAATCAGTCAAAAATATATCAAGGGAGAGTTAACTCAATTTTACATGATATATATTGCTGCTGCAGTTATAAATGATTCATAAAAATTTTAATTTCAATTGGCAACTAGCATCCATGAACAGTGCCACTGACAGAAAACATATTAAATACATTTCCTCACATTCCCAAAAAATTTTCTGACAATCATGCAAACCTGATAATTTTGTTAAATGTTCCTTCTCTTTTAACCCATGAGCATAATTATAATATAATGAATAAAATAATGTAAGATGCTTTTCCTATAATAGTTTATTCTAGGTGATGGTACACTCCTAATGTGAGCTTTATTTACAAATCTTAGAAACGTATTGCACCATTCGGTGTTTTTCAATTGGATATTCAAGTATTCAGCATTTTAGTGTAATTTCTTTTACAAATTTTTGCATTTTGGGATATTCTGTGATTCCATGTTTTAGGATATTCCACCATTCTTCCAAATGGGCTCACTCATCTTTATTCTTTCCCAGCTGCAGCACTATAAGGTAAAGGTAAAGAATCTGATCCCACCGATGCATTGGCCAACACACTACCGACACACCACCAACACACCACCGATGCGTTGGCCAACACACTATCGATGCCTTGATAAGATCAAATGCATTGGTAGAAATCTAAATCATAACACTTCACTTCAAACTCACCATTTTACATCCATTTGCCACAAATGCTTTGAACTCTTGCCCTCTTTTTGGGCAGCGGAAAAGAGATTTCAAGCTCTTGCCAGTGATATTTGGGCAGAAAGACACTTTAAGAGATTCAATGGCTTGACACTGTTTGCTGATGGCTGAAAGTCCAGCATCTGTTAAAACTGCACAACCACTCAAGTCTAATGATCTCAAGGTTCGCCCTGCAGCTGAACAAATCTGCAAAATCAATAGGAAAAAAGGTCAAATTGTCACTCAAAGCAGACAAGACGAGATCTTTTATGTAGAGTCATTCCCAGTTCTCCAACATAACCTGCAGAGCCCCTGTTGATACCAGCCTTAAGTGTTGAAAGGGTCACCTGGCTTAAAAAAAGATGACTTGGCTTAACTTCAAAATTTTAATGGTCTGACACAAATTGCTGTGCCTTTCAGATCACTTTCATGCCCTTGCTGGTTCATCTAATTTTATGTACATTACTACAGACTATGATGGCTCTTGATCAAAGGATGATACATGTTCTAAATGTATCAAATCTGGAAAAATAATTCAAACTACAGCATACACATTACCAAGGATTAGCATTTTTCTGTGGGGCACTGTCTGGGATGCTAATTAAAATAAAATTTTGTAACAGGCCTTAAAAAAAATTAATGTACCCCTCAGAATTGTTGAGAAACACCAACAGGGTTTTTTTTCTTTTCAATAATTCCATACTTACTTTTTCTAAAGAATCATCATCTACTGCCTTCATTCCACACAAAGTCAATTCTCTTATATAATCCAATTTTTCCACAAGGTCAATGAGTAATTCTGATGACATTTGCACTCCATGTAAAGTCAGTTCCAGTAGATTGGACGGGAATGCATTTGCTGTCACCAATGTTCTGCCATCAGTCAAAATTCTGTAGCAGTATCCAATGTCCAGGCTTGTCAAGTTAGGACAGCCTTGAGTAACCTGCAGTAAATGATAACAGAGGAATCTTAATCAAGACATCCAAATTAAAAATAAAATTGAAAAGGACAATTTAAGGCTAAGATCAAAATAAAAACTGATTATTTTAATAATTAATTTGGTTAAAAAAATGTCCAAATCCAGAGAGAATTCTAAACAACTTACAACATACTTGCATCTATGTTGGGCTGAAAGTCATAAATAACATTACCATTTACAATTATTATAATTAATAACTCTTCACCAAAGTGAAGGACTGGCTAGTCGTAGACATTTACCAAGCAGTGAAGAAACAAGATAAATATCCACCACTAGCCAGTCCAACACTGAAATGAAAAAGTTGTTTTGCTCTGTACTAAAACTGGGAGATAACATAGCACAAAAAGGTGATTTTGACTCATTTATTCTTGCAAAGAATGAAAAACTTCTGAGTGCAATTTATGTGCAAGTTACTTGGAGATTAATAGCAAAGGATATTGGGAGTTTGAGCAGCCAATCAGAGCACACCTTCAAGGCTATCCACTGTTTTAGAATAATTATATGAGTTACTGATTAGAATAGATCTAACTGGCATTTTATTTGAAATGCTGCAGTCTTGTTGGCTACACCACTCACTATCTTAATTAATTGATATTAAATAGAAATAAAATAAGGCATGGATGAGCTTGAATTATATAACAAAGGTATGGCTTCACAGAACTTCAAAGATATTGATTTGTTCCTTTTCATGATCTAACTGAATCACATGGTGACAAGCTTAGGAGCAGAAGGCTGTGAACTAAGATCAGTGGTACAGTCCATTTTCCTTTCTCCTTTGATACAATTTCAGTGTAAGCACAGGGGACCTGTTCAACAGGTTTTTTAACATTCAAAATAACCAATTGTCCAAACAACCATATTTGATGCATTAAATGTGTGTATAATTTGCACTACACTTAGCACTGTTCGATAAAATTTTTTCTTATTGTACCTGTAATAGTCCTGCTCCTGAAATCATATTGCAACCAACAAGAAGCAATCTGTTTGACAACAAAAATGGAAACAACAGTCATTTCACAGGAATACAACCATGCATAAATATAATGTAGAGAATGATGCCTGTGTTGTCAAAGATTTAACTATGCAGAAAGACTCCCAAAATGTTAAAAAGGTAGTAAATCACAGGACTTGTAGTGATTAATGAGTAAATTCTCTCTAAAACATCCAAACATTAGTCCGCAAACAGGTAAAGAGAATACTAAAACTTATCAGGTAGCAGTTGTTATCTTCATCTAAAACCAAATTCTCATAACTAAGTTACAAGGAAATGTGTTAGTAGCAGGTAGTGGGGAGAATTAACAATCAAATCTTAGAAGTTGAAAAGTTAACAGTCTAATTGCTGATCAATGTTTGAGAACCAATTGTCAATAAGGTCACATTTTGTTCTTGCTCCTCTTTATTCATTGATTTCTTAAACCCTATTTTTTTTTCTTATGAGGACCAGAATAAGATGTTACTGTCAGTAGGTATTAACCCTTTACACCCTAACATTAGTATGTATATTCTTAATACTATTCTTTATATATTTCCCAAGGTGCTAACAAGGAGAACATGTATAACAATCAGGAGCTTCTTTAGCTGGTGATCATTTTCATTATTCTCATAACCATACTGTTTGATTCAGGGGTGATATTGTGAGGAGAAATTAGATGGTAATCAAACTTAGAGGGTTAATAAGCAAGCAGTGCATAATATCTTACTCTCTGAGCTTGGGACAATCACCCGAACCAATGGCAAGCAGGCTAAGATCTGTCAACAAGTGTATTTCAGACAGCTCCAACACTTCCTAGTAAGGATAAAACTCATTAGCAAAGAGAAACTCTTAGCAGCTACTTCATGCACATACAAGAAGTTGAAGTTTAGCACCTAGTAAAAACTAATAACAAAATTCTTGAACAGGATTGGTTATCACCACCCCAATTTGAGTGCTAATAGGACAGTGTGTGCATCATGCTTGTCATTGGACAGTGTGCGAGTCGTGCTCATCATTGAACAGTGTGTACATCATTCTTGTCATGGGATAGTGCATACATGATGCCTGTGTAAATACACAGTAAGCCTCAAGAGCATGCAAGAACCGTTCTTGCATAACTTTCCAGGTTAGCTGTTTTATTCCTTTAATGAAAATGCATATATATCACTCATATATTTGCAATTCTAAGACTATATGCAGCAAACAATACAGTCAGATAAATTAACAGTCTCTTTTAAGCCTTTAACTCTCATGAGTGACCAAGACAGAATTTCTCCTTACAATATCAATACAATATCAACCAGATATGTAATGAGAATAAAGAAAAATATCAATTTGGGGATGATTAGTTGATCCAATATTAAATTCTCTGAACTAACACTATAAGAATTGTATGGTTGACAGTAAGGAGAATTATGAATTTGATCTGGGAGTTAAAGGCCTGGGTTAACTGTCTAAATATACAATTAACAGATGGTTTGAGCTGATCTCAATCATCTGACCTTCTTTGGTAAACTCTTAATCATACTTGTATTAAAATATACAAGTACAACCAACAGTCACATAACTTACCAGTTTTCCTTTCAAAAGTGTACGTGTAACAGTTTCAATACAATTATCATTAAGTTCTTTGCACCCTGGCAGCATCAATTCACAAATATTTGGACAATTCTTTGCCAAGGTTATAACTCCATTGTTGCTAAGCTGATCAATGTGATCTAATTTAACAGATACTAATTTTGAAGACCGTAGTGTTAATAAACACTTGTCAGTGAGATGGACTTGAAAAGAACTCAGTTTAAGATGCAGAAATTCCAAATCTGTTTGTGTCTTGAGGAGGGAAGATAATCCCTTATCTGAAAAAAACACAACAACAACAACAACAGTTTAACATCTAACGTAAGGTCATGAAACCTATTTGTTGTCCATTTACAGAGGGCAGGTAGATTTGCAGATCAGTATGAATAAGGCCAAAAAAAACTCAGACTGCCAATTTTACAAACAACAACTAAGATCAACAGCTTTATAAATTCCTAAAACTTTCAGCTTGGATACCAGGTTTCATCTGTCTAGAACTTCAGACAGCAGGTTGCATTTTAAATCTGCTGTCTGATTCAGTCAGTTCATAAGTATGAATTACGCCAAAAAATCAGTCAGTACATCAGTATGAATTAGTCCAAAAAAACTCCGACTACCAATTTTACAAACAACATCATGGATCAACAGCTTTATGAATTCCTAAAAATTTCAGCTTGAATGCCAGATTCCATCTGTCTAGAACTTCAGACAGCAGGTTGCATTTTTAATCTGCTGCCTGATTCAGTCAGTAAGTAAGTGTTACCTCAACTTTATTTTTAAAGTTGTCATCATTTACAGAAAGCTAGAAAACTTTTCCAGACCATGTCAGCTTAGCAATTAAATTCGAATTTGCTCTTTACTTAACACTTCTCAACACTATTCAATAACAAAACTTGGGTGAAATCAGTATGGACTATAGAAAGGAAGCAAAAACTACATACATGTATTAATATATAACTAACTGCAGACAGTACTGTTTCGGCCTTCTGGGCCTCATCAGTGCAGTGCTAATGCTGAAATGGAGGTAAGGCAATATAACCACCCCAAGTGATCTCACACATGTGGGATCATCTAAGCCATACCAGAGTGCTCAAACTAGAAAAACTAGTGAGCATGTACAATGCTAGCAGCAATGACTCATCCTAGTAGAGTGCTCAATTTGGACATGAAAGCAAAGCTTTGTATTTGCATTTATTGAGAAAAAGAAGGGAAAAAAAGCATAGGAAATGAGTTCTTGAGACAGCACCTCACTAGTTACGGGTATGAACTATGGTGTGTTCCTCTAAATAATTCAGATCTGGCTTAAGGATCAACTAAATAAAGGCCAGACCAGACTATTAGCTTCAGGTCACTGCAGCAGGTCTGTGCAACAAATGACTCTGCATGTGTGTGCTCTGTAACAACAAAATTTTAATTATAGGGAAAAGATTGGCAGAAAACTAATCCGAGCTAGTTGCGATGCAAATTGGCAATGTTACTTGCCCCAGACCTGTTGTGGAACCATTAATGCCTAATGTTTTGCAAGCCTTTAAAGGAACTAATACAAGTTCAAAGTTCTGTCAGCACCTTAACTTTGTGGTACCACAGTGAAAGCGATCATGGTTTAATGATGATCCTCAGTGGTGCGACTCCTTTAACAATTAATTTATGTCTACTAATACATGCGCTCATTCACCTTGAAGGAAATCACTTTCCTTTTCAAAACGACGAGGCAATAACAAAATTCTTCTTCACCCAACAGCTTTTAACTAGCGAACAATGTTCACAAGCTAAATTGTAATTTTGTTCATCTTTCGAGACTTCGAATAACGTGCTATCACACAGTTCCAGAGTACGTGTATGTTGCAACCAGATGCAGCGCTTACCTTATGACCTTCGCTTTAAAAAAATTTCGACGATCTCGACCGTGATCAAAATCGTCTCCGTAGTCCCTTACAAGAACTTCGACAAATCTCGAGAGATACTATATGCAAATTCTTAATTTACCCTTTCGAACTGATTTCGTTTAAAATATCGATTAAAATTAAAAATGTATCTTTTGCTAGGTTTCGAAGTGTCATTCGAAGAACCCAACAAGATCAGGGACCCTTAACTACGGGACGATCATGACAAATCAGGACTGAGTCAAACCTTTTATTTAAAACTCTTCACGTATTTTGTTAAAAATCGACAGTGAAAGAAAAAGAAGCCCAAAAATACTTTGACACGCCATGCAAACATATTCTATTTACAGTTGGCTTCCATGCACCCTCGAATTCAACGAATGTTTTCTCACCTGATACCTGCGGGCAATTCTTGAGAACAAATGACCTCAGTTTGCAACGGGAGAGAGCTAACTTTTGGAGCAATGCATCGTCCACTTGACCAGAATAACCAAAAGCAATGTTGGTCAACGTCGGTGAAAGAAGCTGTTTAGTTACAAATGGAATCCTTTTCGCTGTAAACATATCATGGTCGCAAAGCAATTCTAGAAGAAGTTCTTTGTCGTTTTTACACAGTGATGATCCTGCTCGCTTGATATTTTCGAGGTTGTTAGCTATACAGAACATGCACAAGTCTATCAAAGATTTCGTCATGATGAAAAAGAAAACAATACGCAGTGGATGAACTCACAAAGTACAAATTCAACTTCATCTCATTTTTACTCAATTGGTTTCTGCGGAAAACTGGGGCGAGTGGACTAAATTGACAGTTTAGCTCTGACGAAGGGCTAACGCTTGAAACGTCAGCCTTTTACTCTTTACGGTGGCCAATTTACGTTTTCAACTCAGTTGTTATCACTGAATTACATGCTATACTCTCCCACCGACGCAGCATCACATTTTCTTTAAAAATTTTCCCCCTTTTTATTAAATTGACAGTTGATCGTCTTATTACGACGTGGATAGTAACTTTTCGTCTTCTTTTCATGGAGAAAATTTCAGCTTGATCGGCTGGCTCCGATTTTAACCCGGCTCCTGTTCACATGGATATGTGGTGAATTCGCCCTATTGCAAGTTCGCCCCCTATCATTTTGCGAGTTGGTCGGACTTCGCCCTCTAACGTAAAACCAGTTCGCCACCAAACGATTCAACTTGTCTGTTCTTTTCATTGACGCCATGAAAAGCTGCGTCCAGCGACAACCGAGTGTGAATATTGAATTACGAAATCCATGAGATGTTGTAAAGGGTTATACGGAAATCATTCCGATGGTTTCTGCCTTTTCTATCAGATCTCGATAACTGAGCCAAAAATGTTTCATATGGAAAGAACTAAACTGATATCTTAATCTTGATTAATCTAGATCCTCATCGATAACTGGAGAAATTTCTCCCGCTGACCCACAGGATACCCAAGCCCATCGTGCGAAACGCGAATCCTTGCTTAGAACGGTGTTAAAAGCAGTTCAGATAACTTAAAATTAGCACGTACTTGGTTAATTCCGTCGCCTCTTTCATGCAAGACTTCAGCAATGTAGCATCAGAACAGTTAACGCCGCTGACTGTTTGAGATCCCATCTAAACGGCCAAGGAGGCGTGCAGCCAGAAAAGAAAATGTAACAAGGCGACAGAGAAAGCAGAATTTATATAAAAAAAAATTGCATGTCATACCTTAGATGGAAAATAGACTGATAAGTTTCCATAGAAACCCATGTAAATAGCCTCTCTATAGCACAACACTGCTCGTAAACAATTTTGTTGGTTGCGAGGTTGGTAAAGATGCCCCTTTGGTTAATTTTCCCGTCAAACACTCTTGGCTTGGTAACCGGGATGAAACTTAGAAGGCCCTGTAGTGTTTTCGTTCTATCTCAGTAACCAAGCTGAAATGTCCCTTTTAAACATCAAGTGCCATAAATCAGCCCTATTTTAGCACAGACATGCTGACATTGGTTTCGCAATATCAGCTTCGACTGAATTTGTACAGTTACCTAGAAGAGCCTCGCTTCCGTGCTAACCCAGAGATTGGAGGGCTCTCAGACGTCCTTTAAACTTTACCGTATGTTTCCTAACTAAAAACGCTGGCTTCGGCGGGAGATTTCTAAGAATTAAGCATCTAAGTCATCTCGCTAACTGAGCCACGAATCGTGCAGGAAAATTGTTTAGTGAAAAGGAAAAAAAAATTTTTTTCTGCTAAACGAGCCAGCTGCGATCAGGTATGGAAAGGATATGGTAGAGTATAATGCAACCTGTCAACCACCTGCCGCTAGGTGAGATAGATATATATTTCAACCTACAGTGCGTGCATTCCTGAGGAGGGGGAAGTTAAAACATTATATCTGTTCTGCCTACTAAATGAGCTGTTCTCAAAACACTGATCGTATTCTGGCTAAATACCCAGGGCATACTCTCTTCTGAGTTCTCTGTGTGGAACAAACGTATCTGTTACCTGTTGCGTCAGGGTCAACTTGAGACCTACAACTACCTTAATCTACGGCTAAATATTTTGCGGTGAGTGCTTTTTTCATTTAATGAAAAGCTTTCGGAGAAAATTCTGTTAATCGTTTGGCAAACTGTTGTATAGTGAATTTCCCATCGTAAAAGAACCAAAGTCGATTTTTATCAAATCTGCTTAAAAAATTAACTCACAAACCGAAGCAAAACTTTCGACGGCATTTTCGTGGTTTCATCCTGATTAATACCATTACGACACAGACTAACCGATTCACTCATATAATTACAGATTTAAATCAATTATAAACTCAATTTGGTCTCAGCTGTTGATACATATAACGCATATCCATTGTATCCCGCGAGTTCTGGTTTGTGACTGTTTCCCATTTCATCGGTGGTGCGATCAATTGATCTGACTGACTTCACTATAAGCTGGTCTTCAAAAAGTAAATTTTCAGTGATAAATCAACAAATTGTCAAGCACAACTATACTTCTTAAAATAAGCCTTCTTATTTTGCCACTGTCATGGCTTGACAAGGAATAACTTGCCAACGATTGGATCGGTAAATTTGACCTCTATGCCGCACCATTACAGCTGCACTAGATCCATTCATTTCGACTCAAACACTACGTTACCCGCCTATGTAAGAATATTCTACTATAGAAACCAACCGCTAGTTATCAAAATAAATGCACTTCTTTCATTACTAGTTAACACAGTATTTTGTCCAATACGAAACGGCACACTGGTAATAGTATATAACTCCTCTCTCTTTCTATGTTAGATTAGTTGTTTTATTACAGTGACCAGTCAATTTTTCTATTTTTTTCCAAGATAATTTGGTTTCATCAACTGAATTGATAATGTAAATTGGGCACCGTAAAAAGTATACCCCCTCCCACCAACACCCAACAGTGTCAGCTTAGCACCTTTAGTTTCTTTAAAAAACTTACACCCGTTTATATATTTTTTCCATTTTGTCTCAGGATCGGACTCATCATTGAAAATCATCGCGCAGTCTTTGGCAAATTTCTCAGGGTGACGAATAAGGCCTTCAGCATCTCTACGCACCTGTATATCGGCTTTGACTCATGACAACCCTGGGTATCGATTACTTCAGAAACCCTCTTCAACTTGGATGTCAGCCAAATAGCCCATAACTGCCTTTATAGTTAAGCTTTCTACTCCCTAAAAATTAAAAGGATGGATCAACAAAACAGTGACATAGAAAATACTCCTGCCAAGCCAGACGATCAGCAAATTTCGTCATCACCGAGTGACAAACAAACTTCGCAACTAAAACCCCGAACTATCAGCGGCTTTCCAAAGAGATACGTTCTGCTATTGATGATCTTCATTGGATTTGTAAATATCTACGCCATGCGAGTGAACCTTAATGTGGCCCTTGTGGCAATGGTGAACAATCAGACAATCATAAAGGGAGGAGTCTCAATAGTTAAGGTACATAAAACTTCGCCGCTATGTGTTTGATCCAGTTATTTAGATCGTTGCGCGCAGCTGACGGTTTTGTATGCGCAAAACAAGTTACGACCGGCCAGGCTGCGAGGCTTGTGACGGAGGAAAGTCTTCTACTTGAGGCTTCGCTGCTCATCACTTAGTGCACATTTTTAATCGAAAGCACTACAGGATTATATTGGTTTTTCTTACCCATGTTCTACGATCGGTTTAGAAAACTCACGCAAATTAAAAAAAGGAGAGGCAAATCTTAAACCAGTCGTGGTATAGTCGACAGAGTAGTTTTCAGTTGATTGTCGAAAGTAATCTGGAATTACTTTGATTTCTTTTATTACGCTCTTTGATTGGTTTAGAAAACACGCGCCATCCTTTTGACCAATCAGATGAAAAACTAACAACAAGCGTGACTGTGACTTGCACGTTCACCCGCGATTTCCCGCGCTTCAAGCAGTTAGCTTGCTTTGAATTCCCATTGGTTCCCTGTGATATTTACCTTTGTTCTGATTGGCCATTGTGATAACTTTGATTTCGCTTATACGACATCCAAGAATGCGCCTTTTGTGTATATTCTTAGAAGAAGTTCCAAAGACTTAAATACAACAGTGAACAAGATTAGATGGTGATATACTGAACATAAGGTTTTTATTTATTTTCGATACACGTCACACTTTTTTTTAATTAGATGAAGGACCAAAATATTAAATTTATCTGTTGAAGTGTTTTTTTCCTTCAGTTCGAATACTAAACCAGATTCTTCAATTTTTTTTTAAAGCAAGCTGAATTTGATTGGAGTTCAAAACTGCAAGGTAAGATTGATGGCCTTCAAAGAATAGAAATATTTTTTAAGGGAAAATACTGTGAAACCTTGCATATGGCAGTCTAGCTTGGGGAAAGTAACGACTACCAATTACTTATCGCCGCGAAGCAGACTTGGGAGGGGGGATTGAGGATTTTTGTTGCGTACAAATAAAATTTACCTGATCACCGTATAATGCTCTGTAATATTCCCGTGATCCCCTCCCCCCCTCATTGGCTGTTAATTAGCAGTCAATTTTCTATAGTTCCTTCTTTGTACTACGTTGAAGACAAGTTATGCCCCTCCGTCTCCCCTTAAGACAATGCGACCCCCCCCCCCCCCCCAAGGTAATTAGTGCAAACTAATCCCCGAATTTCAGTCATCGAACCACAAATCCATCGATTTCGTGCATAAATTCCGCCGATGAGCTGAATTCGATGTCAACTGCGCGGCTAAGGCACATTTTAATAATGAACCAACTTAGTTATTTCTGTTCGTTTTTAGGTCTCGTCCTAGGCTCATTCTTTTACGGTTACTGGGTTTTACAGATCCCTGGAGCCTGGTTAGCACTTAAAATTGGTGGTACTCGCGTGTTTGGTTATGGAGTACTTCTGACGTCACTACTGGCTATCATTACTCCAATTGCTGCAAGATATCACGTGATGGCTTTAATCGGTGTTCGAATTTTTCAAGGTTTGTTTTTGGTAAGTCGTAATACAGCATCTTTTCACGGGGTCTGGTTGAGCCGGTAAAATTAGGGCCAGAATAACCTTTGACGACTTGATGCAGGTCAGGGCACACGATAACGAATCAAATAAATCCAGCATTATACGTAAAAGGAAACGTCGGAGGTTAACTCTGTCGAGGATGCTCTCCAAATAAAATATAAAATAAGCTGTAATAAATATAGGAATGCAAGAACTAGCGAGAATCTTGCTTACTTCCTTAATTTACTTGGCAAATACTCAAATCCTGCTCTTCAAATATTTCCCTAAGAAATGTATTCCACTGTTTGATAATTTTTTGGGAAAAAAAATAAAAACAATTTACGCTGGCTAATGGCTGTTTTAATTCAAAATGAATGATTTGACATTGTTATATTATTAGAAAAAATATATAAATAATCATTACAGTTTCAGCCATTGAGACTATGAATAGTCTTGTACAACTCTAGCGGAGATAGTTAGGACCTTCTTGATTTGAAACAGGACCGAAGCAGTGTTATTGAGGTGAAATAGTTCATTCGTTTGGGTGTGATTTCTTGTTTTTGTTCTTGTTGGTTCTTTTAGGGAGTTACTTTTCCGTGCAACCATGCCATCTGGAGCAGATGGGCACCTCCTTTGGAAAGAAGCAGTTTGATAACCATTTCCATAGCAGGTTACAAAGCTTTTTTTCTTCATCTTTACCATGCATGCAAAATCTCTTATGAGTGAGATCGTGAGGCAAACTTAATGTTGACAAGTAGTAGCAATAATCCTAGCAAAAACTCTTCATTTACCATCGCTGTCTTAATGGTAACTCATTTATCTGTTGGGTGTTAAAGGCGTTCATTCTCTGTGAGATTGTGACGAATAAGGGTAGAGTTTTAAGGATCACTTATCGTCTATAGCCGAGGGTGGGAATTGAGGGATGGAGGGATGGGGGG